GTCAGATCTGTTGTCCAAATTGTGGAGCAAAATGTGATAATCCAGAGTTAATTCATGAAAATCATAGAAGTACTGAACATATTGCAATGGCATTTAAAGGAGTGAAGTACCACAATATTCACACACCAACATTGGAATTATGTTATCAGCAATTGCAAACTAGTGCCTTCATAGTTGGAAACGAAACATTTACTCCAAGAAGAAAATATTATGAGGCTAGAGCACCCGGGTGGCTTGATGATTTAGACTTGAAATTCCAAAATGGAGCATTTCGTAGTGAATCATATCCACCACCTGAACAACGTCGAGCATGGATGGCTGTACGGAATGTATTGGTAGCTCATTATAAGATGACAGATCATACTTCATACGATAATGATATGTATCCATCATCCATACTTAGTTTACCATCAGGATATACTCCAAAATGGAAATAGAAATGAGATTTGTTTTTGTTCGATTATCTGTTTTATACTTAACATATTTAGTTGTTTATTTAGCTGTTTTGTTCTTATAACATATGTTAGACTCGAACTTAAAATTAGCTGAGTCAAATGATGCATAAAATTTGATTTGGAAATGTTGTGCGAAGAAAATTTCATCGTTCAATTAACAAAGTTGTGTGATAACAGTACTTTGTCCGTTTTGCAAAAACATAGTCACTGACTCGCTCTCACAATACCATGTCGTAGGATCCTACAATTTAATCAGTATATTCTTAATATATATTCGCTTTATATGCAAAGTTTTGTTGAAGGATATACATCCATAATAAGTAATTAAATTTCAAATTGCACTTATATATAGCATATATAGACAACGAAATAATCGTTACCTGTTTCGATGCATTGAACTTTGTCAATAAGCGTAATGCTGAACGTTTTATATTTACATGAAAATTTGTACAGAAATATTTACTCTGCATTTTACATTTACACTCTTACATTTTTATTTATTTAGTTTAAATTAAAGCAGGGAAACACGAAAAGGCCCCGACTTGTAAATTCTCCTCCCAAAAATCTTCCTAAATATGCAAGCACAAAAACAACAAAAAAAAACGCTGATACAATGAACAACAAGTAAAGTAGAGGAACTGTTTAGAACATCCAACAGAACAATAAACTTAATAATAATAATTTACATTTGGTCATGTAGATGAGCGCGTATGCTAGCTTTAAAGACTGGTAAAGAAACATCAATAACATTGGAAGAGTTAGCAGGATCAGGATTGCTAATGGCGCTACAGAATGAAATGTCTGTCAACTCTGTCAAATGATTTATTACATACACATAGGTTTTATTTGGTGCCAGTCAGATTCAACAGAACTGTTGAACCAATTTGTTTTTGTTTTCTATCTTCTTCCCGTAAGATGTTATGGCAAAAAACTGAAGACCTCCTAAAAAACCGAGAGTTTTTGAGGAACGTACTAGACTGTTTAAATTTCTACTCGTCAAGGAAAAGGGATAAATAGAAAACAAAAAAAAGGAATCTTAGATATCTAATTCTGTACATCTAATACTAAATATAACTTGATCTAATTATAAACAAACAAATTATATATTACCTAAATAAACTCCAATAGTACATCTTCCAGAACTAACACGAAAATTACATCCAAATGTACTATTCAATAATGAACTTTTAGCCGATGATTGTTCACCAATAACAGTTAATACAGCTAATCGACCAGAAACACGTAATTTTTTTATTGTATTTTCCATTAAACGACTTTGACTATATAATGGTCTACTACGTAATATATGTATAGCAAAACCTTTATAAACTAATTGTGATATACGATCAGCTAAACGTTCAAACGTATTTTGATATTTATCTAACATTGTTGGTTGTTCATCAAAATAATAATCATATAATTCAAATAATTCATCAACAAATAAACCAATTGTTAAATCAACATTATATAATTTTAAATCAAGTTTTTCTACATCATTTT